GAGAGTAACAGGAACCTTCACTCAGATCAGGGGTGTCAAACCCAATTTCATTGAGGGCCACATCAGGGCTGTGGTTGACCTTGGGGGGGGCTGGCAGATGTGGGCGTCCGGGTGAGTATGGCCAGCTTGACTCCATTCCCCAAACTGCTGGCATGTTTCATCTTCGCACTGGGTAGACCAGGCCGAAGCCACGCTGGCCCGATGTTTCCTCTTTGCATTGGGTAGACCAGGCCAAAGTGACACGGATAGATTGAGCCAAAGAGATGTGGGCCTACTCCTTACATTTTCCAGGACAGCCCCATGGGCCATATCTGACCACATCTGGGCTGTGGGCCTTGTGTTTGACACCCCTGACTCAGATGATCATTGTGGAAACAACTGTTATTTTTTCCTTTTCAAAAGTAATGATTAAGCAGATTTCTGTATACAATCATAGTAACATGACATGATCTAATAGGGAATTTAGGAATATTAGAACGAATATATCATGCAGTATTATCATCATCTTTGTATCTTAATATCCATAGAATATGTGAGTATCATGTATTGGTAGAAAAACCATCATAGGTATAATGAAAAATATGGGCTTGAATGGGATCTGCTTACCCATGCGAGGCACACACGTTTTTCAATATTAGTGGTTGACTTTTATTTTCAACTGAACAGCAGTCTAATCATGCTACCTTGCCCATTTTCCAGCTTTATTTCATGTTAAGTAGAGTAACTGAAGGATGTTCTTCCACCAACTAGTGATTTTTAGTGAGAGAGAAAGAATCCCTGTCTTTTGTATATCAGGTACGTTATAAATAAGAACAACACCTATGGCAGGATAGAAATCACCAGTATGAACAGCAATTTTTCTGCCAACATAGTTTTTAACCAATTGAATGACTGGTGAATAGCACTAATTCAGCCCAGAATTAAGGATGCCAGCTGCTAATTTTGGCCCTCAGCTCAGTATTGGATGGAAACAAGATTGAAATGCATAGAAAGGATGGTGAAGAACCCTGGCATGGTTCTTTGGACTAAAAAAAGAGGAGAATGGGGAGCAACTAGGGATATGCTTACCTGGATGGTAATAATCATAAACTTTAATTATTGCAGGCTTAAGATCTGTTATTTCATGTTCTTGTATCACTTCAAAACTGTAGTTTTGAACTGTATTATCAAGCTGAAGAAAGACAAAGGTAGAGAAAAGTTTTGTTCTGCAGTCCAGTCTTTTGTCCCCAGAAAGTGGTCTTAATATTAATATTAATTCCACATTTTCATCTTCCCTGAAGATGAATTGTCATCTGGACTGAATTTCCACATCACCTCTACCCCCTTTAAACCTAGCTTCATATCAAATTGACAAGGATATTAAGAGATCTTACCTGATCGAGGTAAATAGTGATTTTGTCTAGATCAAGTTCAACTTTCTTTACATGGCCTTCGCCTTCCAGCTATTAGAATATAGAACAGTAAAGCATAATCAGGCAATAGTATGACTGATCATATGAGCCATGAACTAATGCACTACATGTAAACCTATGCAAAACATGAAGTGAAATTATATGTGACATGTAGGTTACATGATCTTTATATTAATGAGGATGGCCAGTCCACAGCCTGTGGATTGCATTACACTCCAATTCCTCATAGGTCTTGCTTCTCTTTCAAGTTAGCTAGATTTGAATCTTCTTTGTCACCAATTGGGCTGCCTTTTTAAAAATGCTGGAATGTCAAGAATAGGTATTCAAGGGCCTGTGAGATGTTATGAGTAGTACCATATTTTTTTGCACTGTAAAATGCTCCAGATTAAAAGATGCACCTAGCTTTTGGGGAGGAAAACGAGAAAAAATCTGCCTCTGCCTCCCAGCAACTTGCCTCCATGCAGCAAACAGCCTAGTCAGATTCAGCACAGCCTTGATTTAGCACAAGTAGCTGATTGGTGATTGCATTGGCCTCCTGGAATACAACTGATCAGTTGTTCCAGGCTAGGGGAT